TTTGTTTTGTACTTACTTTTTGCTTTGCTATTTTTTTAAGGGCATCTTGAGATCTTTGTAAAGACAAATATTTGTAACATATTTGTTGTGGATGGAGGTCGTTTTGGTCATACATCTCTAAGTCGTTTTCTTTCTTTGGTTTTTCTGACGACTTCTGCCGTAGTTATGTCGCTTCGATGCTTTGTTGAAATGCAAAACATATTGTGTTGAGTTTAGTTGAAATCTTTTCGTTGGCAACAGCCTTAGCCATAGCGATATTACTTTCGAGTTGGCGCCGAAGTATTATCCCGTCGTAGTTTGAGTGATGCCGAACATATTTTTTGTCGATGGCCTTGGCCATTGGGGTGTTGCTTTTGAGATGGCGCCAAAGTAATATCCCGTCATAGTTCGAGTGATGTCGAACTCATTTTTTATCGATGGCCTTAGCCATTGGGATGTTACTTTCGAGATAGTGCCGAAGTAAGATCCCGTCGTAGTTCGAGTGATGTCAAACTCGTTTTCCGTCGATGGCCTTAGCTATTGGGATGTTACTTTCAAGCTGGTGCCGAAGTAATATCCCGTCGTAGTTCGAGTGGTGTCGAACTCATTTTTTATCGATGGCCTTAGCCATTGGGATGTTACTTTCGAGCTGGTGCCAAAGTAATATCTCGTCGTAGTTTGAGTGGTGTCGAACTCGTTTTTTATTGATGGCCTTAGCCATTGGGATGTTACTTCGAGATGGCGCCGAAGTAAGATCCCGTTGTAGTTCGAGTGATGTCGAACTCTTTTTTCATCGATGGCCTTGGCCATTGGGATGTTTCTTTCAAGCTGGCACCGAAGTAATATCCCGTCGTAGTTCAAGTGATGTCGAACTCATTTTATGTTGATGGCCTTAGCCATTGAAATGTTACTTTCGAGCTGGAGCCGAAGTAAGATCCCGCCGTAGTTCGAGTGATGTCGAACTCATTTTTCGCCGATGGCCTTAGCCATTGGGATGTTACTTTCGAGCTGGTGCCGAAGTAATATCCTATCATAGTTCGAGTGGTGTCAAACTCGTTTTTTATCGATGGCCTTAGCCATTGGGATGTTACTTTCGAGCTGGCACCGAAGCAAAATCCCATCGTAGTTCGAGTGATGTCGAACTCGTTTTTCGTCGGTGGTCTTGGCCATTGGGATGTTGCTTTCAAGCTAGCGCCGAAGTATCCATCATAGTTCGAGTGATGTCGAACTCGTTTTACGTCGATGGCCTTAGCCCTTGGGATGTTACTTTCGAGCTAGCACCGAAGTAAGATCCCGTCGTAAGGGTGGCGTTCTATTTTATTTGTTGGAGTGTCGTGGATGCCTGTTTCATTCATACAATGGAGATGTGTGTTTCTTTTGTATACATAAGGGAGTGATTTTATTCATATGTCGGATATATATGTCGACTTCGTATATATAATGGAGATTATACCTAGTCCTTTCATTGCTCGGCATGGAGATGTAATCGGTAGGCAGGGCAATGAATAATACTTCGAACCTCGAGACGTCCCTCTCGTCGCCTCATTAAAACCTCCCCGAGAAAACCCGATTGGGACAAAACCCGGGCGAGGGAAAAATAGTATGACTCGGGCGGCGTCTTTTTTTAGAAGTGGAAGTACTTGAGGTGGGCGACATTCCAGTTATTTTGCAATAGATTTCCTTCCATTGTTTCTAGATGGAATTCTCCTTTACTTGCTGTTGCTATGATTTTGTACGGCCCGTCCCAATTTGTTCCCAGTTTCCCTTCATTCGGATCCTTCACTGCTTGCGTTTTGGTAGTACGTAGTCCCCGACTCTGAGTGGTCGTACTTTGGACTTCATGTTATAGTACCTTTCTGCTTGTTGTTTTTGGGCCACCATTCTTATGTGTGCCATATCCCTTTGTTCTTCGACCTCATCCAGGTATTGTAACCTACTTTCATCGTTGCTTGATCCACTCTCATTGGAGTATCTCAGGTTAGGTTCCCCGGCCTCAACAGGTATGACTGCGTTGGTGCCGTAGACCAGTGAATACGTCGTCTCACCTGTGTTGGTCTTCTACGTTGTGTGGCAGGCCCATAGCACTTCCGGTAGTAGTTCCGGCCATAGCCCTTTGGCATCTTCAAGCTTTTTCTTTAATATGATTAATATTATTTTATTAGAGGATTCCTCTTGACCATTGTCGATAGGATGATATGGCATGGAGAGTATCTGCTTGATATGCCATTTTTCAAAGAACTCAGTCGTCTTTTTCCCGAAAAACTGGGGTCCATTGTCATAACTGATTTATTTGGGGATGTCGAAGCGGCATATGATGTTTTTCCAGATGAACATGATGACTTCTTGTTCACGTATTTGAGCGAACACACCTGCTTCCACCTATTTGAAAAAATAGTCAGTTAAAACCAAAAGGAAGCGTATCTTACATCGCCCTGCTAGGAGGGGCCCGACGATATCTATCCCCCATTTTATAAATGGCCATGGAGAGGTGACGGAGTGCAGGAGTTCCCCTGCCTGGTGTATCATAGGGCATATTTCTGGCATTGCTCGCATTTCTTGACGTACTCCGCGGCCTCTTTTTTCATAGTGGGCCAGTAGTATCCTGCACGAATAAGACACCTAATGAGGGCTTGGTTGTCGGTATGGGCTCCGCAGTGGCCTTCATGTACCTCTTCGAACACCCGCCTTATTTGATTGGGTCCGAGGCATTTGGCTAACGGGCCGCCAAACGTCCTTTTGTAAAGGCCGTGGTTTATGAGACTGTATTTGGCTGCTTGTATTCAGAGCTTTTTGGCTTCTTCTTTATCTTGTAGGAGTGTTCCTTCCTGTAGATATGATACGATGCTATTACGCTAGTCCCAAGTTAAATTTATAGAATGTACCTCGACTTGGTCTATTGATGGGTGGAGAAGGGTGACCACGTTCTCCTTAGTGATGTTTTTAGTTGCTGCTTCCAGCTTGGCGAGACCATCTACTTCGACGTTTTGTACTCGGGGTATTTGGTCAAATTGGTATTGGTTGAATTCTGGCAACAGTTTGTGGATTTTAGTCTGGTATTTCTGCAACCTTTGTTCCTTAATTTGGAAAGTCCCAGTAACTTGGTTCACAACTAGTGGAGAGTCGCAACGGAGGATGACCCACCGAGCACCATACTTGAGGGCTAATTTTAATCCTACAATTACGGCCTCATACTCGGCCTCATTGTTAGTCATTTCGGGACATCGTACAGATTGACGAATTACTTCTCCCATTAGGACTTCGAGTACGAGTCCCAGTCCAGATCCCGACGCGTTGGATGCGCCATCGGTGTAGAGGACCCAGAGGTTGGATCGCTCAGATGATGTGCGAAGCGCTTCTTGTTCGACTTCAGGTAGTATCTCTGCACTGAAATTGGCGACGAAGTCGGTGAGCACTTGCGACTTTATTGCGAATCATGATTGGTATGTTATATCGTGCTCGCTCAGTTCTATGGCCTATTTGGCTAACCGACCCGATAGTTCGGGTTTGTGTAGGATACTTCTGAGAGGAAAGGTTGTCACTACCTTTATGGGGTGGCACTAAAAATATGGTCTAAGCTTTCGTGAAGCTAAAACTAGCGCCAGAGCCAGTTTTTCAAGGTGGGGGTAACTTGTTTCAACGTTAATTAGGGTTTTGCTGATATAGTAAATTGGAGATTGCGTACCTTGGCTTTACCGGACTAGAACTACACTTACTACGACTTCGGATACGACTAGGTAGACTAGGAGGCACTCGCCTGGGTCTGCTTTGGCGAGTAGGGGTGGCGAAGACAAGTACGCTTTTAGTTTCCTCAGGGCGTCGACACACTCTACATTCCACTGGAGCCCATTGTCCTTCCTTAATACATTAAAGAATTTATGGCACCTATCCGATGATCGTGAGATGAACCTCGGCAGGGCTGCTATCCGTCCCATTAATTTTTGTACATGTTTTTTGCAGGTCAGTGTTTCGGGTATTCCTTCGATGGCTTTAATCTGTTTCGGGTTGACCTTGATGCCTCTATGTGACACTAGGAAACCAAGGAACTTTCCCGAGCTTACGCCGAAGGCGCATTTTTCGGGGTTTAGTTTCATGTTGTACCATCTCAATGTGTCGAAGGCTTCCTTTAGATGACCGATATGATCTTCTTTCCTCTTCGACTTAACCAGCATATCGTCGATGTAGACTTCCATTGTTTTACCAAGTTGGTTTTTGAATATTTTGGTGACCAATCTCTGATATGTCGCCCCCGCATTCTTTAGTCCGAACGACATCACTTTATAGCAGTATGTTTCCTAATGAGTGATGAAAGTGGTTTTATCCCGGTCTTCTTCTTCCATGAGGATCTGATTGTAACCCGAATAGGCATCCAAGAAGCTTAGCAACTCGTGTCCTACTGTTACGTTGATGAGCTAGTCGATGTGTGGCAATGGAAAAGAATCTTTCGGACATACCTTGTTTAGGTCTGTGAAATCTACAGACATTCGCCATTTTCCGTTTTTCTTTTTCACCATGACCACATTGTTGACCCATTGAGGATATTTCGATTCCCAGACGAAGTCATTTGTGAGTAGCTTATCGACCTCTTTGCGGACGGCTTCGTTGAACTTCCTTCTCATTTGCCGCACTGACGAATATATGGGGTCGGCATTTAACTTGTGAGTGGCGATATCTTTTGGGATGCCTGACATATCTGCATGGGAGAAGGCAAACAGATCGGCATGGTCAGTCAAGAACTTATGAAATTTACCTGGTTCCGAGAGGTTGTGCCCGATATAAGCCTTTTTTGTGCTGTCGTTGCCGTTTAGCAGGATGTGATCAAGATTTTCTATCATTGATTAGGATGCTTCCACATTGTCGGGGTCCTTGATAACGTCTATTCACACGTTAAGTTTGGCTCTCGACATCGCTGATTGCTATGCTTCCGTATTTTCTCCTTTGAGTTGTTGGGTGTGTGCGCAATCTTGGGAGATACGATAGCATTCTTATGCGGTGCGTTGCTCCCCTAGAATGCTGAATATTCCCTATGGGGTAGGAAACTTGATCACTTGATAGAGACTAGAAGGGATCGCTCGCATGGTATGTATCCACGGGTGCCCTATGATGGCGTTGTAAGTCGTTTCCTTGTTCATGACGTGAAATGTCCTTTCCAGGGTGACTCCTCCAGCTAGGATGGGTAGCACTATCTCTCCAAAAGTCCGTTCAACTGCATTATTAAAACCTGTTAGCGTTATACAATGTGGTATTATTTTATCTTCGAGTCTCATCTGCACGAGGACTCGAGGATGGATAATACACGCACCACTGCCGTCATCTACCGTTATTCTTTTTGCATCAGTATCTGCGATACGTAAAGTGATAACAATAGCCTCATAGTGAGGGAAAGACAAATCGCCGGTATCCGACTTATCAAAGATGATACTGTCTTCGAGGTCATCATACCGTTCGTGAGTGATTAATCGTTTGAGTTTATGTGTGGTGGTGAACTTGACATTATTGATCGCTGCATCGTCGCCCTCGCCGATGATCATTTGTATGGTGCGAGCAGGAGAAGGCGGTTTTGGAGGTCTTTGGGGTTGTTCACGTCCGCGGGCGAAGTTAGTTCGTCCTCGATCGCTCAGCAGCTCCTTCAGGTGACCCTAGTTTAGCATTTGTACTACTTCCTATCGTAGTCATATGTAATCTTCGGTCTTGTGACCCCTTTCTTGGTGAAATTCGCAGAAAGCGCTTGACTTCCGAGTGCTGGGGTCTAATTTCTTCTTTTGTGGCCATTGCACCTTTGGACTGAGTTTCTCTAGGGCGTACAATATTTCTGAAGGAGAAACACACAAAAATTGTGAGCGGATAGGAGTGGAGGCATACCTTTATCGTGTTGATATGGTGCCATATGTCGGGGGGATCATCCGTGCGTCGTGGTGGAGGCGGGGCAGACACCCTAACATAGGGTTGATGCCTTTCCCGATTGGAGCGGGGCCCTAACTGATCTCTTCGACCCTCGTTGCGATGATCTTTCCTTGCTTTGGTTTGGAATGACGTCAACCGTTGGGTCGGGCTATTTAGATCGTCCTCGCCGGGTCGTATCTCGGTGCAGTAGGCGTTATGGATTTCTTCCCAAGTAGTTGGAGGGTATTTTATGAACCTACTTAGCAATTTTTTGGTCGCCCTCGACCCATTTCTGTTTAATCCGTTTTGGAAGGCTGCTACTGCCATTGCTTCTAACATATTTGGCAAGCTCATTCTCACCTTGTTGAATCGAACTAAAAAGTACCCGAGTCCCTCGCTGTGCATCTGTCTTATGGCAAATATATCATTACCCTAGCCTCTGCCTTTTTGGCTCCTTCATAGGCGGTGACGAATTTGTCTGCCATTTCCTCGAATGTTGCTATCTAGCGTGCTGGTAGTTTAGAGTACCATGTCAAGGCTCCCCCTGTTAAGGTTTCGCCGAACTTTTTTAACAGCACCAATGGTACCTGCTCTTTTGAGAGATTCTAGCCTTTTACGACTGTAACGTAGTGGATGATGTGGTCTTCTAGATCGGTAGTACCATCATATATATTTAAGTAGGGCAACATTTTGAAGGTCTTTGGAATGGTGTAAGGGGCCGCTTCTTCACTGTATGGTTGCTCGATGAATCAACCAACATCGCATTTTGGCAGCAACTTTGGAGCGCCTGGTATTTTGTCAACTCTCTCTTGGTGTTCTTTTATTTGGTCACGGAGTACCTTATTCTCATTTTCCATCTCCTCCATTTTCTTGAAAATAGCTGCAAGCGTTTCATTGCCTGCGTTATTAGCAACATAAGTGCTACCTGTACGGGGGGCGTCTTGCTCACCCTCGTTTATCGTGACATCTGCATGTGCCGCATTCCTATCATCCCTTTGGGTGGGTTTATCAAGGATGGCATTCAGAGCACTTGTTAGCCATTCTTCCAACAGTCTTCTTACTAACGGTGGTGCCTCTCATGTTGCAGATGTGGAGGCTTCCCTTTCGCATGAAGCAGTCACGCTTCCGTGCGGGGGAGGTGAAGTGTCTCCCCTGGGTGTAATGTTTGGTGTTTCATTTTCGTGATCCTCTCTACTATGTTCGTTGATGGTGTCTAGGAGGTTGGCCGTGACGCCTACTATGGCTTTTTGCCTTGCATCTCCTTTCCCTGCCATTGTTGGTTTATACCAAGCTCGGAAGAAGTGATTATCCCTTTCAGGAGTCTAGATGAAACTATAATCTTAGCTAAAGAAAAATCCCCCACAGACAGCGCCAAATTGTTTGACCCAAAAGATTTTGAAACCTTTTTGATTAAATGAATTAAAGAAGATGAAAGGGTAAATCTCAGTCAAGTATAATAAACTTTAGAATGAGGAACATAAGGGATGAACAAGGTAAATAATATTTATTGATCTCGTGGAACCGAATGATTAAGCGTCAAAAGAACGATCACCAAGAATGTAGAATAAATATTGTAATGGATGCACTTAGTCGAAAGTTCCCCCTTTTTACAAGATCTTTTCCTCACTATATGTAAGAGACAACTCCTTCTGAACCCTAGAAAACATATCATAGGGAATATTCGAAGTATATTCCTGAAGCCTCCTGTTAGACCTACATTACTGCGAAAGTCATGTGTCCTCTATCCACTTGTTGGTCGTCACCGTCTTCCACAGGACGTCGTGTTGTAAAGATCTCATCTTTTGTCGTATTGGTCAGTAGTCATGGTCGTCCGAATTTGGACTCATACACTTAGTATGGGACTATTATTATTATATATAGACATGTGAGACATCAATTTATTGAATAACATGGTTTGTTCGAACCACTCGTTAAAATAATTAATAATATGCACAAAAGAATTCGTCAAGCTAAGTGGAGAAAACTTTATAGAGAGAAATATAGTACTACAAATTAAATAAGAACTATGCCCTAAAAGGAAATGCCAGAAAAATGAATTGAAAAGAAAAATATAAATACAAAGGAACAAAATCGTAGACGTATGTACTCACCACTCCCATTAAAACCTAAGCATCAAATAATTAGAGGCGTATGGATTATCTCATGCTTCTATCACCTTTTTTTTTTTAGATACTTTGTTATAACAAACGTGATATTTCTGTTTTAAGCCCCCCAAAGAAGTAATTTTCTTGAATATTGCTTTGTTGCGACTTTGATGAATTTCCCAAATGATACTGTCATTATTCTTCATTTTATTTTGAGAAAAATTTCGATTATTTTTATGAAGTATTTATATTATGTGTTCGAAATAAAACGTGTAAGTAGACGCGACTTGAATATAGTTCAAGTGCCTTCCTCAAACAAATGGAAGAATAAGGATAATATTACCATACTGAAGATTCAACTAATTAGTTATACAGTCAGACATTTCTATAACAGTTTTCCTATATAACAATCATTCACTATAAAAGCTAAGTTTTTCTTAGAACCGAATTTTTAAGTTATATATATATATTACCTCTCTATAATAGTTTTTTGCCTATAACAACAACAACCATATTAATTGTAAAACACTCTTTGTAAAATTATCCCTCTCTACAACTATATATAATCTTTAAGATTACTAATAATAATTCTACAAATATGCACCAATCTTTTCCATTGATCAAAGTTTCTATCATGCATAAGACACAAGATTTGAAGATCTGCACATGATATATTTTCATTGGATACCTTTTTGCTGAAAATTTGGACACGAATCTACATCAATTCAAGCGTTATACCGATAATAAGAGAATGCAATCTACGAAACAACTACAATTAAAAAAACATTTCATCAAACTTGAAAGAATTTATTTTCCTAGTAGCATTAAAATGTGCACCTTAGAATTTAAATCTTTGTACGTTTAGATAATGAATTTATTAATAATGTATTAGCTTTCTTCAATATATACCTAGTGAAATATGCATATCTTCTGAGATTTTAAATTTGAAGAATTTTCTTATCTTTTACATGTAACATTATAACAACAACAACAACCCATTAAAATCCCACAAGTTTTATATGTAACATTAAAAAAAGAAAAATAATTTATTTTTGGATATTTTTATCTATAACATCCAAAAAGTATTTTAAACGTCAAAATGTTGTTAGAGGTATATAACAGCCATTCGTTGTAAAAGCTAAAAAATCTCGAAACAAATGACGTTATAGAGAGGTTTGACTGTACTAATAAGTAATAAAGTAGTATTAAAAATAAGTGCAAACCTCAACATACCTTATTTTAATGTTTTATGAAGAAAAACATTAAGGTCTCAGTGGTGGATCCACATTAAGAGAGACGGCACGTGAACCCATATTTTTTAATGTTAAAATAGACTTCCTATATAAATTTTAGAAGATTTTGCTATAACGGGAACCCATGTTCAAAGTTTGATATTTGGTGCCTTGGTTCGAGATCATACATGGATATGCTGTATTTCCATTTAGCTCTTCTTTTCTTCTTCTTTTTCTTTAATTTTTCAGTTTGTTTGTTTTTTTAAAATTTTTCTCTTTTGCACTTTTTTTTTTCATTTTTTCTTTTCTCTTTCTCTATTTGACTTTATCCAGCCCAATTAATTGTTCAACATGTCACGATATATAACAAATTAAGGAACCAGAAATTAGATTAGTTTAACTTGAATTTTATCTCTAATTTGAACCAGTATACATAGTTTATGTGATTATAAGATATAAGTTACACCATGAAATACACTTAATTTAATATTTTTTCTATCAAACTATTGCTTAGTCATATTTTTATTCCAACCGCACATTACTGAACTTTGTCTCCAATTTTCTTAATACGAAATAAGTTTTTCTTACTTGGTAAGCAATTCACATTTAAAGAATTAGTCATATGCTCTAATTATTTTTTAATTTTTCCGTGTATTTTTGCAACAAAACTTGCACAAGTTTCAACTTACACATTAATTTGTTATTACTTATTAGCATTATGGTTTTTCTCTTTATGTTGGACTTCGACAATAAGAACCAAGTAGGTTTAATCGCTTGAGACAAGATTATTCAATAATTTTACATATCATAACTAACAATTTTAGTGAGATAAAATAATTTTGGATTAATCAAGTGTGTAGCTTATCTCTGTGTATAATGTGCAAAATTAATAATAAGGCACAAACCATTCATTTCTTCCACATCAATTAACATTATGACAAATATAGTGATGCACCCAAAATTTTAAGATACTTAATCCACTTTTGTAAAAGGGAGAATAGTTAGCTCTCGCCTTCGTGTTTAAAAACAACATCAATAATTACGTGTAGATACACTACTAATCCATGGTGGGGATTGTAAGTAGAAACCTATAGAAAGCTTTCATGATGGATCCAAATTTTTTGTTAGCCATTATTTGATCAAATTAAATTATGGAAATTCTTTTTTCTTATTTATACTCTTGTTGAAAATCTAGAAGAAAGAAACCATAAAACCAATACATGCAATTCTGTTATGGGCTCTTGTTGGATTTATAAGTCAAAATGGCATGAATTAAAAAATTATTAGTGTTTGTAAAGTAATTAAAAATTATCACTATTTAATGCGAAAATAAAATATGAACAAAAATACTTTTAACTGAAACACAAAAAAAGCCCGGCATAATATATTGAATTTTGAAATGGGCATTTGCATCTATACCCGTTTTTTGGGTCACGTTTTAACTTGTGCCCGCTTTGCAAAAAAAATTGCAAGCGTACCCATTTTTTCGCGTAGCTTCAACATTCGGGGCTGAAGTAGCAAATGCAATCACGCAAAACTTCAGCATTCTAGTAAACGGGACTGAAGTAGCAAGTGTGCTTCAGCTCTAGAGTTGAAGTTTTTGTTTTGTAACTGGCTGAAGTTTTTGTTTTTGTAACTGGTAGTTTTTGTTTTGTAACTGGCGAACTTCAACTCTAGAGCTAAAGTTTTTGTTTTGTAACTGGCGAACTTCAGCTCTAAAGTTGAAGTTTTTGTTTTTGTAACCGGCGAACTTCAGCTCTAGAGCTGAAATTTTTGTTTTGTAACCGGCGAACTTCAGCTCTAGAGCTGAAATTTTTATTTTGTAACTGGCGAACTTCAGCTCTAGAGCTGAAGTTTTTTTGATCTGCTCTTGTCTCACACATGAAAATGCTAGTCTGGTTTCTTCTACGGAACTACAGTGTCGTACAAGTATTATTTAAGTATTTATTGTTGTCGTAATATTTTATACAACACATTAATGACTGGAGACAGAAAGATAGGAAGGCTGCCTACCTTCCAGGTATTCATGGTTTGAATTTTGTTCATCATTTTAAGTGATTGATTGTTCATCCAAGCTTTTTCCTTGCAATATTTTACTCTTCTCCAATGTGAGTTCAACCATGACTGTCGAAAATCTGTTTTAGTTTG